TCTAAATTAATTGAAAACAATATTCGCTATTATTAAAAAAAAAGATATTATTAATTCTAAATTTTAGAAAATAATATCAATCGAAACAAAAGTATATTATAAATACTGACCTTACTCTAAGTATAATTACAATTTTCTTATCTCAAGCATTTATCTTATTTTTTCAAAAGTAGTCATTTATCTTTTAAATATACCTTGTTTATGTAGAAAATTATATAATTTATAATTATATCTTTTGAATTTTTTTGTTTTTATTTCCTCAATATTTAATACTTGGAGACAAAAAAAAGAAATTAAAGCATATTAGTACCTACATCTATTTTTATACGGGAATAATAAAATATTTTCTAGACAAAGTATATAATTTTTTGCATTAAAAACATTGATATTGATGTTTATCTGTTTATTTATTCAATATTAATGTTGATTTATTTATATAGAAATTTATTCTAAGAATGGAATAATTAGAAGAAATAGAGATAAATAAATAATCCACGCTTGCAAAATAGTCGTCTGCTAACGCCAGTTAAAATATATTATATCTCGATTAATAATTATTTTTGAGTATTTCATACTTTACAGAAAACTTTTTAAGGTTCTAATAAACAACTTTCTGACTGGATATTCACTGGAAATGAAAATTTTTCAGATAAATGAAGCACTGTAAAATTTAAAGTCAATAACTGTGCAGTATATCAGAAAAAAATTAATAACGTTTTTAATTATAATTATAATTAATTTTTGTTTAAACTATCAGTAGAACAGTAAAGAGACGCGTATTTTTGTTTTTGGTTGATTAAAATCTGTTAAAAATTATCTTCTTTATTGCGAGTTGAACTCAAAAATATAATTAAATTTTTTGTTTCCAAACAATCAGTTTTTTGGAAATATTTCAAAAACTATAATATTTAGGAACTTTTGTCAAAGGGAAAAAAGATAGAATAATATTTTTTAACGAAATATACTCATAATATATTAAAATTGAAGACAACATTTTTTCGACTCAAGGGTTAACTACACAGAGAAAAAAGGATAATTAAAGATAATGTCAACTTCTTCAAGTTTTACACTCCTCAGGGTAAATTTAATTATCCTTTTTTCTCCGTGTAATTCAAGCGTCAGAGAATTATAACCGGTTCTTTGATGGGGACCCTCAATTACACATAAACAATTACTGATACATATTTTTAAATAAATTTTTTAATATATTTATAACTTATAATCTAACGGTTAAAAAACTCTCACATTTTTCAATTGAGCCACTTACAATTATTTTTATACAATTCAGGCGTATTATGGTCACTTTATCTACCTGTACAGGTGCGTACTAAGTTCCCCCTTATAACCCAGCAATCAATAAAGTAACCTATAAGTATTATAGCCCTAGGGAGATAAAGGGTATATTATTGACCGCTCCCAGGTCAATGAAGTACCCTTTATCTCCCTAGGACAATAATGGTTACTTTATTGACCAGCTGGGTTATATGGGAGAACTTAGCATGCACCGGTACAGGTAGCATAGAGTAACCATAATACGCCTTTGTTGTATAAAGTAAAGTATGCAACAAGGGAGGTAACCTCGTTTTTCAATATTGTGCTCGGTACATAAACTCGGACTTACCTCCCTTGTTGCATAATGTACTATTAACTTACCTTTGTCAGAGGGTATTTTTACGGATGTTTGGAAGAGCACAAAGATTTGTCCTGTTTTTAAACAGGGTGATCAATCTAATGTAGAAAACTGTCGGACAATTTCTATTATTAATAATTTTTCCAAAATCTTTGAAATCTGTCTTTAAATAGTATATTAAGCAACAAGGGTATAAAGGCAGGTATTTGTTTACGGTGATTTTTGTGACACGAGTGGAGGTCTGCCTTTATTCCCGTGTTACTTACGATATTTTTTAATCCTAATGCACAAAAGTGTCGATTTCAGATAGCAGATGACAAGGAATATAAGTCAGTCACTTGTTCGACTTATATGAAAATGGCGGCCGTTTTCTCCCTTGGGCAAAAATAACGCATGGGATCAGCGTTTATGTTTGCACATGGGAGAAAATGGACGCCATTTTCATATGGTCGAACAAATGAGTGACTTTACTCCCTGTCGTCAGCTATCTAAAAGCGCCATTTTTGTGCATGTGGAATAAAAATATTATTTCTATTAAAGTCTCAAGTTCTATATCTATTTATCAACATGGTTTTGTTCCTAAAAAAATCAACAGTAACAAATTTACATATTAGCTTTCACGCAACATATTTATGAACTATTAATTTAATGATTTCCCTCAAATTGATTTAATTTACACTGACTTTACTAAAGCTTTTGATAAAGTTGATTATAAGTTATTAATTGATAAGCTTCTTACATTTGATTTTCTTGATAAATTAATACAATTAATCAAGTCTTATTTAACTAATAGACCAAATTTTGTATAATATAGTGGCTATGTTTCAAATATCCTTTTTTTCCTTTATCTGGAGTTCCTCAAGGCGTTGGCTTGGTGCAAAACTGTACCATTTCAAGAATTCGTTACAAATAATACCATTTGAAAAGTTTGTTATAAAACATACCATTTCCATGAAGATCTTTAAAAGTATTGCAGTAAAGGATTTCTAATGATTAGCAAACAATTGATTTAAATTATTAGAAATTTTGAGTAAATACATTAATAAGATAGACAAGAGTACTCTAAAGAAAACTCTTTTTAAAAATGCATAACCTTATTTTATGTCTAACAACAGTGTTAACAAACTTAGAAAAAAATCAAAAAACTCTTTTTCTCAAAATGGTATGTTTTAAAAACATTTAGCGAAATAGTACAGTTTATAACGAATTCCTAAAATAGTACATTTTTCCACCAAGCCGACGATGGATCCAATATAGGACCGTTACTTTTTTCTAATATGAATAGTCTCTCTTTTCTTAATTTGCTACCATCTTCTTTATGCTGATGATGTTAAACTTTACCTTCCAATTTATAATGTTGATTCATGTTAAGTTTTGCAAGATAATGTAGAAAATTTTTATAATTGGTGTAGAAATAAAAAATTAAAATTGAATATTGGTAAATGCAAAGTAATGACATTTGTAAGAGGGAAATCAATAATCTAACTTTTTTACCTAATTTATCCTTATAAATCATGAATATAACATTTGCCCACAAAATAACATTTTTCAGTAACCGACAGATTGGCTCAGTCGGATAGATGCCTCGCTTGGCGGTCGTTTAAGGACCAAAGGTAAGTACCCTTGGTTCGCGCCCACTTGGCTTGGTATTTTTCCGGCACGTGAGACAATCTGAGCGGGAGGTTTGACGTCGAGGTATAATGATGTGCACCGTCGATTATTGTCCGGTACATACCATTAGAACTCGACTGTCGATAAACTGGTTGTACTGAGGAGAGGTTTTCTTCAGTTTCCCTCTCCACTGGCGAGAAAACCCATTAGACGGGTGGTCCAGGCAAATGCGAGTACTCCTTATTTTCAAGTCGCTCTGTAGGCGCAAAACTTAGTATTAGGAAATGTACATAAGAAATATTTTGTAAGAGAAAAACTTGTATAGCCAAGAATGTAAGGCTGAAGACAGGTGTATAAACCAATAAATAACATTTTTTAGCGGAATACCTGCACCAGTAAATTTAATCAAATGAAATTTAACAACTTTGAAAATTCTTACTAACAATGGCAACCAAACTATCCTCAACAAAAATATTGTTATCAAAGTTATTCACCATATGTTCCGTCAAATTATCCGCTAGAATGTCATTCTCCATTTGTACCACAATGTTCGTACACAAATGCGCGTAACGCATCTGGCAAATATAATAACGCTCAGTCATCGAAAAAGGAGCTTAACATAAGAAAATAGTAATTTCTTTTACTATTGACAAGTCCAAAAAGTATTTTGCGAATTTAATAAAGAAACAACGTGCAACGTTGATAAACAATCCGTTTCCACTTGTGTTTCGAAAATTGAAAAAAATCGCATTACTTTTCTCTTGCATATTTATTAACAAAAAATCTTATTCGTATAACATTATGTATTAATAAATTTTATATATTAGTGCTTTAATAAGCAACGCAAAGAGATTTACTTTCTTTGTAAAGAACCAACGTGTTTTCATCACAAATCATGATAAATACACTAGTGTTTTTTTAACTTGCCAGGACTTTGTTAAAAAAATTAATTAAGAGAGTAAATAAATCCCAATTACAAAAAAATATTAACAAGCAAGAAAATAATCGACCCATCGATAAGATTCAACGCGCCTTCCAGCTGATTCATCGACATAGTCAGAATTCCTGTGAACAATGCTAGTGTATCTTGAAATATCGGTTGTCAATGATCAAAGTAATAATATAAAAAAATTGTATAGTACCCAATAACATATATGCTTTCCTTCCGGTTTGGACAACTTTTTGAAAAGTGGTGTGCCTTTTATAAGAATGTTTTAAGCTATTGCTTAATGGAATTGAGTACGTCATAAACTTAAAACATTTTTATAGAAGGCACACCACTTTTCAAAAAGTTGTCCAAACCGGAAGGAAAGCATATACAGTAGAACCTCGATAAGTCGAACCTCGATAAGTCGAAAACCTCTGTAAGTCGAAGAAAATGTCCATTCCCTTCCCTAGAAGCCCAAAAACCTCTGTAACTCGAACTTTTCAACCTCTATAACTCGAAGTAATTTTCATTTCCCTTCAACAACTTTTCCATGTATTTTAACCTCTATAACTCGAAGTTTAGTTTTGCAACCTCTATAACTCGAAGTTAGTACATATGGCTCTTTTAAACCTCTGTAACTCTAAGGTTTTGTTTTTCGGAACCTCTATATCTAGAAGCTAATACAATACAATTGTTATCAAACAGAGGTTCCTGTATTGAATTTAAAAGTTATTTTTCGTGTTCAGTATTCATTTATATTTTCAATAACGATGAGTGTGAAACGAAAATTAAATACTTTATCATACGCGGAAAAGTTAAAAGTTATTGAAGATGTGCAAAGTGGTAGAAAAAAAAAGATATTGCTTTAAAATATGGCATACCCTTAAGTACACTTTCAACAATAATAAAAAAACAGGCTTCAGTATTGGAAAAGGAAGAGAGCGGAGAAAATTTATCTTTTAAAAGACAACGAACTGCTGAATTTCCTAATTTGGAAGAATGTTTACTTACTTGGTTCAAACAATGTCGCGACAAAAATATAACAGTGAGTGGGCCTGTATTAATGGAAAAAGCTGAGTTCTACGCAAAATCTTTAAAAATTGATAATTTTCGGGTCAGCAATGGTTGGCTGGAAAAATTCAAAAAGAGACATGGATTAACCTTTAGAAAAATTTGTGGTGAAAGTAAGAGTGTAAATAATGACGTTTGTGAGGAATGGAAGGGTACACTGCAAAATTTAGTAAAAGAATATGACCCCAGTGATATTTTTAACGCTGACGAAACTGGACTTTTCTATAAATGTCTTCCAGATAAAACATTAGTATTTAAAGGAGAAAAGTGTCATGGTGGGAAGCATAGCAAAGAACGACTAACAGTTTTATTAGCTGTGAATATGTCCGGTTCAGAAAAACTTACGCCATTTGTTATTGGAAAATCTAAAAAGCCTCGTTGTTTTGCAGGTTTGTATATTTTTTAATTTTTGTAAATTAATTTTTTGGATAATAAATTTTTTATATCTTTCAAATGTTATGTACTCTATAAAAATAATAATTTTTGCAGGTTGCAAATCGTTGCCTGTTCAGTACGATGCTAATAAAAAGGCATGGATGAACTCCGAAATATTTAGAACATGGCTTTTACAACTTAACAAAGAGATGATACGAAAGAAAAGAAAGATTATGTTATTTATCGACAATTGTACAGCACATAAGGATATTTCTTCTTTGAAAGCTGTCAAAGTTATCTTTTTGACACCTAACACAACTTCTATATTACAGCCATTAGACCAAGGAATTATACAAAATTTTAAAATTAAATACAGGACAGAAGTCGTCAGAAAAATGATTGTTGATATGGAGAATAATACTGTTTCATCTATTAACGTATTGCAAGCGCTGAGGATGGTAGATAAAGCTTGGAGAGGTGTGACACAGGAAACAATAACTAACTGCTTTAAAAAATGTGCATTTCCTTCCACATCTGAAGAAATTGTTGAAATGAGCCTCACACTTCCTATAGAATGGAATCAGTTAAAATCTACAACAAACATCACTTTTGAAGAGTTTACTTTGCTTAATAAGGACCTTTCTACTACAGGAATGATAATAACTGATTCAGAAATAATTGACTCCATTAAACAAAATGATGAAGACGAAGACTTACTTCTAAATGATGAGGACTTACCTACATCTTTTATGACGGTAACTACGAAGCAAGCAAGGGACGCAATTAATACTTTAAGGACTTTTGTAGAAAAGTGTAATGATATAAACGAAAATGTATTTTCTGCACTGTTTACTGTAGAAACCATTGTAGATAAACAGTGTTCGGAATCTTTAAGGCAAACAAAAATTACAGATTTCTTTTAATGTTTAATAAATATACAATATATGAAAACCTCTATAAGTCGAAACCTCTTTAACTCGAAGTTTTCACCGTTTCCCTTCAACTTCGACTTATCGAGGTTCTACTGTATATTATTGGGTGTGCATTCTTCAAAATAGGATATGTAAATACCGCGCTAAAATTAATAAACGTGCAATTCTTCATGGCAATCGTTTTCGCCACGGACTGAAGGTGTCTTTCTCAAAATACTGTAATTCCTAATCAAACGTTTAGTTAGTAGAGATTTCACGAGTAACTTCAAAATGCGACGACGTATATTGCTTTTGTTGAATCTGAGACGCAACTTTTGGACATTAACAGAATCTGCCCACTATTACCCCTTTGCGTATGGTAGGATCGAGTATACTTTTGCCTAGTTCATTGCCTATAGCAAAGCCGACTACTTGCTTATCAACAACAGTTGGCGAGTCTTTACGCAAAGTGTTATAAGGACACATACTTCCTTCCCTGTCAAAATTATAGCACGATTATTACACGCAAAGATTTAAAATACAATGAAACAAAGAACAATATAATATAAAATGACAAATTCTTGTATATTAGTTCAATACTGCATCCGCGTTTATAGTAATACATAAACTATCCGCATTCAGTAATTTGATATTTAGACATTGTCATAATATCAGACCTTTCGTACAAATATTTTGCTATCATTATTAAATAAATAAAAGGAAAATTTGACAAAAATTTAATCACAATAAATATTACAAAGAAATTATAAATGATATATTATATTTCAACGCGAAATTATTAAAAGCTTATATAGAGCAAAGATACTTAATTTACTTGATTTAAAAAAAATAATAATTATTTCAGATATATAAGAGATAACGCTTTTCATTACAATAAGACGCTTAAGAGCGCAACGTGTGATTATGACGTGATTCGACATATAATTCTCAGCTATAGAGATAAATTATTATTTTATATTTTATATAAAAAAACTAAATAATAACTCTAAAAAAATTTATGTTCGCGTTAATGAAATTGTAATTAAAAAAAAGAACTGAATATTCTTTCACAACAATTATAAAAAAATTGTAGATTAGCTTACAAGTGAAACAAAACGAGAAACAGCTTCGTCTCATCTGTACCAGCGCACGCGTCATGATTAGCAACTGCTAACAACCATCACCACCGCTTCGAGAATATTAGCTATCTCATTTGTAATGGCTATAAAATGTTATTTTTGAGATTTCTCAAAGCAAGGACATTATCCATTGGTCATGTTTTCTCCGAACTTAGCTTCTTTAGAAACCTTGGTCATGCGCGTTTTCTCATCACCTGGATCCAAGAGCCGAAAAAAAAATTTATCCTCTACTTCGCATCACGATATCGCAATTTGAAGAAGATGTCCGACCAGTTACAACACTCGGCAGAAATTCATTGCTATCAGCGAAAGGAAAATTAATTTCTTATATTGATGTTTTTTTATAACTCAACCCTTGCACGTGCTATCATAGTAAGCACCAGTTTAATATGTGAGACAGTTTCTCACACAGTTTCTCACACTAGAAGACGAAAATAATTTCCTCAAATACATCCGAGTTAATTATTATTTCAAAGTCGTTATGATGTGTTATCATCGGTGTCATCGCTAGTCACCTGTTTTTCTTAATGTTTACAACTTTGTTTCAACTACCAAGATGCTTACCCATTATGTACCAGAAAGTCAAACCTTTGTACTGCTGGAGCATCGAAGTCTAACAATACGAGATCATCAGAGAGATGGAGCTAAAGCGCATGATCTGGTTGACAAAAAGCGATTTAAATCCACGGATAAAATTCATCTGTTAAGACGCACTGGATCATCCCGGACAACGAATCCACAATAACTTCGAATTTTCTTTTTCTCTTGTTTCGACAAATTTTTACATATTATTTATAAATTGTAAGTCAACATCGATTTTTAGTTTAGAAATTTTTATGCAGCGAAATTGTTTTTGAACATTTTCTAAACAATCATTTTGCGCGTGATTCGAATATTATTGCGAATATTACATAGAATTATCACTCCAAAATGAGCAGTTACAAATTACTAAATGAAGTTTTTTGAAATATTATAGACCTTTATATAATAATTGAAGGTTACTTGTTGTGGCCTTTGGTCAAAAAATGAGAAATTGAATATATTATGTCAGAAAATTTAATTTTGTCTCCAAAATACTTCCACTATGGATTTCACCATGAACATGGATCTTCAGGTCTACAATAGTAATACAACAGTTATGACACATACAAAAACACATGTGAGATTCTTTTTATAGGTTAGATTACATACCATAATGATCTTAGAGTAAAAATCTCCTTATTAAATATTTAAAATAATTTACATAACAACAGGAATGGAGTTCCATATCTGAAATAATTTTCATCGCATTCTTTAACATTTATTAATGAATTAATGCATTTTTTAGAGAGTGGCAATTCTGCATGACAGACTACTTACTGAAGCTCTCTCTCAGTCTTTTTTAATATTTTTGACAAAAATGTTATAATTTGCATTTAATTTATTTAAAAATTCTTTTATAATTTAACAAAATAATAAATAAACATTCTTAAAAAATATATAAAATATACGATAAGCACATGGCAGTGCATATTTTGACTGGAGATATATGCATACTGACCATTCTGAAAATATTGTCATATAGGTTAGTAGCTGAGTTAAGGTTAGGTATAAATTCAAATGTATGTTTTTTTAAGGTTGGTGTGTTTCCACTATCTTAAATTACTTTTACTAATTTTAATTAAATCGTAATAAAAAATTGATAAATTTTGTGTATCTGTTCTGAAATTTACAGAACTGTCACTCTTTACAATGTGTATCATTTCTAATATATTTCTTTTTTTGTTGTTATTTTCAATCTCAAGAATCTGAATATTTTTTGAATTGAAATCAAATTTGTGATTAAGAGTTGTAGTATGTTCACATAAAGCTGTGTTAGTTATTGAATGGATCTGTGAATACTTGTGTTGGTATATTCTATTTTTTAAAAATTGCTTTGTTTGACCTATATAAACTTTCTTACAGTCAATGCAATTAATTTTGTAAATTAAATTGGTTTTTTCAAATTTGGGTACTTTGTCTTTAGGGTATTGTAAAAGGATCTCATTAAATTTATTTTGTATACAAAAAATAACTGGAATTTTTAGTTTCTTTGTTAAAGTTAAGATTGATTGTGAAATTTCTGGAATGAAAGGTAACGTTATAATTTTAGAAGTATGAAAGTTTTTTTCCAGTTCACTATTTATTATGTTCTTATTGTTATTAGAATTTATGGTTTTTATTCTTTCATCAATATTTTGTTTTATAAATTCATAAGGATAATTATTTCCTGTTAGAATTTCAAATATTTGGTGTATATTTTTTCTATGAAATTTTGTTTCTGCGAGGTTAATAGCTCTATCAACCAATGAGAAAACAATACCCCTTTTATGATTCATACTATGATCTGAATGAAAATTTATAACTTGTCCTGAAGCGATTGGCTTTTGGAACCAGTCTGTTTTAATGAATCCGCATTCAAAATCCAATAAAACATCTAGAAAGGAGATCTGACAATTAGTAGGTTCTTTCAATGTAAATTGTAAACTTCCACCTTCTTTATTAAATTCGTTAGTTCTAAGCTGTCCTTGGTTAAATAATTTATAAATTATCAATTTTTATTCAATTTCATGACACAATTAAATAATCATTTATGTTTTCTTATGCATTTAATTTAGCACAACTCTATGATTTGAGTCGAGTAATGAAAGATGAGATATTATAATTCAAAAACGATTGATCGAGCTTGAACAAACTGTAACAGAAAAGAAGAGGTGACCTGAAGTCGCGCTAATAATATTAATATAAAAAGTAAAATATAATTAATTAGAAAAGACCACTAGGAATGACATATAATAAATATAAAATTAAGATTGGATTTAAACCGAAAGTGCAACAACTTAACTAAACTTATTTGGAATGTCAACTTTGGTTCGTAGAGTGATGCTAGAAGTAATAGAAAATTTCTTTAATCACAAAAATAAAGAAAATTTATTTCTATTAAATGCGCAGTGATACGAAAGATTTATATGATTTTCTATAAATTTAATTTCAAGACAAATGTAATTTTTGTAACAATTAACTAAGAAAATTAATAGAAAATAGAACAAGAATCTTTTTAATCTAAGTTTAACCTGTAGGTAAATTGCAGATTTTTGTTGATGGTGCCGCTTCATCTTCATGAACTAGTACTGAGTCGTGCGCAGGAGTGTCAATTACTACTGGTTCATGAGGCCAACTGCATTCATCAGTGTTAAATTTTGGATGCGCACACTTACGACAGAAGGATCCGGAATAAGGTTTATGGCAAGAGCAATAACTATGGACGATGACACCACAGTTTAGACAATCATTTGTTGCTTTCGGACGGAGGCGTGATTCACTCAATTCACATTGAGCGCGGTAGACTTCTTCAATTTTCTCTAGAAAAGAGATTCTGCTTCTCTTGACTTATCTCGAGTAGAAGTTTGTGTAAAGAAGTAGCGTCGTCTGAGGGGCGATGATTCAGACTTAGCCTTGAATAGTTTTAACTCTTCGCTAAATCTGGATGGTGTGTTTAGCGTCGTTTGGTTGCGCTAGTGATGAGTCTCGTAGATTCACAAGATCGTCAAAAAGGTGCATTTGTCAAGTGCGTTGATACCAGTGGTTTTCCCGATGAATTCCAGACTAAATCGACTGTCCATTCGTACAACTGGCGCAGAAGTAGACTCAATGAGGCGTTTTCGATTGAAGTTGGCAATATTGGCGTTGTAATTTCGCTAAATTCCATGATGCTTAAGACGAATCTGAAAAAGAGAGTTTACATCGTAGATCGCGATCGTAGATTTCTTCTCGCAAATTTTAAATCATTTATGTGGTATTTACCAATCTTTTTACCATTAGCGTAATTAGTAACGACCACCACAGGTGATAACTTCTCAGCGACCACGGCTGGTCCTTTATATCGAGGCGCAAACTTGGCGCTATAACCACAAGACGCGTTTGATAAAGTGTTATTAGGGTAAAAATCCAAATCTCCAAGTTCAACCTTGATATCATCTTTTCGATTTTTATTGTAATTTTTGCCTTGTTTTTTACTGGCTTTTTTCATGAATTGTTCTACTTTAGCGCGGAGTGCATCTATTTGTTTCATGCGATCTAACCAAACTCTAACTGTTTCGTCTGGATTCACGGGCGAAGTTCAGAAAAGCTGACGTGACTCCGAGAGAGGTGTGAACGGTGGTGTTTCTGGGGAACTGGATATCCTCGAGTAGAATATCCCATTCGCGCTGATTTCTACCGAGAACGCTTGCTAACAACGTTTTTAAATTTCGATTCACGCACTCGACAGGATTAGCCTGGGGATGATACAAGGGTGTAGTGCGTTGTACTGAACCGATATTTTGTATAAATGATGTAACATTGCGATTTACAAACTCTGTACCGTTGTCGGTGATGACAATTCTAGGCGCTCCCCAGCGGTTAACGAGGGTGTTCAAGGATTTCACAATCTTTTACAATCAAACTAAGATATAATTTTTACCAGATTTTGACCGACGTAGGGGGTCTACGATATCGAGTGACACTGTTACCCAGTGTTCCGTAATTTTATTTTCTATAGACAATTTTGTCGGATAATAAGAGAAAAGAATAATTATTTCTAATTAATCGTAATTTATAATGAACAAATTTTGATCTTGATTGTCACGTGAGAGTAAGAGAGAAGCAAGGAGGTACTCAATGCACGATTGCAAAAGTTTACATTGTGAATTTGCTTAAAGATATTATAAATAAGATTTCTATTGATTTCCCTTTAATTTTCCTTCTTTCCCCGACAAATGATTCACATACGTTTTTGTGTCGCGAATTTCAATTATTCTTGAAACCACATTTTTATTGCAGATAAGGAATGTAAAAATATATGAACCCTTTTAAAAATGTTTCGTAGAATTTTAGTAAAATTATTATATAGAGTACGTATTATTACACTGGTAAAAATGATATTGTTAATTCTGACATACGAGAATGATTAGGACTTTTGTTTGAAATAAACATGCAGTATTGCTGATCTTTAAATTCAGTATTAGTGTTGTTCACATACGTATTACTGTCTCCCACATACATATATGGCTAGTCTACACTGCGTATGGCTAAACCAGCAATACTGTATGCCTGTGCCATATCCACTAATACAATATATGTTATATTTTATAATATAATATATTTATAATAGAGGTGTGCATTTAATCGAGTCGAACCGAACATTAATCGACTCGACAACAGAAAATTCGAATCGGAGATAATTCGATTCGAACTAGTCAATTCGAAAATCGGCGTTTCGAATTGCACAACTCGCCTCGGTCTACTTTCAATTCGAATCGGCCAATTCGGAATTCGAAGTTGCGAATTGCACGACTTGACTCGGTTAACTTTTGATTCGAATCGGACAATTCGAAGTTTCGACTTTCAAATTGCTCGACTCGACTAGATTTTCGAATCAAGTCAGCCAATTCGAAAATCGAAGTTAGACTTTCGAATTGCTATGTAATGTGCTATGATGTGTATGCAGTAATGTTGTGCAATTCGAAAGTCGACCCGAGTCGAAATTTAGACCCTACTTAGCCTCTGAAAATGTAGGGCTTATTCAGGTTTAGCAGTCGTAAAGTAGGGTCTGATTTCAATACAATTTTTAAAAACTAGACCCTCCTTTGACTCCCAAAAGAGGCTGAAATTTGCCAATCTTCCATTTGGAAAAAATTAGAAAAAAACATTAGAAAAAGAAAAATTTAAAGATTTGCTCAGATTCAA